CACAGTGAGGTGAATCACAGTGGTTTGGAATTCCTGTGGCTGCTCCCCAAGCCAAGGCAAACACTGATTCCCCATTTTCCACTTGAACAACACACGGAGGAAGTGTTCCTTCTGCTGGAGTTGCCAAAGGAGATCACAGCGTTCCTATGAACACCTGGGATCTAAAATCCACCTTCCTCTCACAACAGCAGCTGGGAAAACTCTCCAACCACAGATTCGTGTGTCACTAACTTTGTAAAAAAGAAAAAAAGCATGAAAAGAATAGGATTTAAGTAAAAGGATCAGCCCCCTTTGGTTCCAGGCTGATGCATTCACAGAATCCCACACTGGTTTGGGCTGGAAGGGATCTTAAAACCCATCACATTCCAAGCCCAGGGACACCTTCCACTAGCTCAGGTCCCTCAAATTCCTGTTTGTAGCAACTGCAAGCCTGCAAAGGTCCAGGATTCTGAGCTCAAATAAATGCATTTGTGARAAGCTAAATGGCCTAAGAGATTTTAAACCTAAATGTGACTATTATTTGGAAACTTCTTAATGAGCAACTYTCCTGTTGGAATTATGATGCATTAAAAAATAATGGATGCTAATGAAACAAGAATGCTTTAAATAATAATCCATTCTAATGAGATGAAATAACAATACATGAAATATTACATGATATAATATAATATGATGATACATGAAATATAATGTATGAATTGATACATGAAATAACTCTAACCCAAGGGGAGCTGATCCTGCCATGGAAAACATGCATGAAATAAAAGTTGTGACACTCGTGCACCTACTGACCTTAACCCCACACTCCTTAATCTCACACATCATACAGAGCAACTCCTGCATGTTTTAAAATCCAGAAGCACTAAACTAATGTAAACTTCAAAAAAATCCTCAGAATGGTCTTTTCTATCTGTCTACGCAACATTTGCTAAGAATAAACCCTTTAGTCATGCTCTAGAAATYTGATGAGTGGTCCAGAGCAATGGTGGAATTGTTTTAGAAAATGCAAATAGTGCCCAGTGCCAGGATTATCCCGACATGTGGGGATTAACTGTTTGACAGTTTGTGGATCACAGAGAAAACCCAAAATGAGAATCCCTGGGAGATGCTYGGGAACTTGGTTCAGAAAAATCAAAGAGCAAAGCATGTGAACACATGGCTCTTGTTCACATAAATACATTTTGAATTTGCCAGGAMTTCCTTCCCAATATCCCATCCATCCCTGCCCTCTGGCAGTTTGAAGCCATTCCCTGTGCCCTGTCCCTCCAGGCACCTGGAAAACAGAAGCTAAGGACACACAAGAATATTTTAGGGTCAATAAATCTGTATCCACAAACCAAACAACACATTCCTCACTATTTTCACAAATACACACTATTTCCATGGAGTCACCTGTTCCATTTTAAAAACCTGTTCTAAGTAATTGGAATAGAAGTTTATTCCAGGTAACAATGGAAGGGATTTGGTCTGAATGMATTTTTCAACTACAACTCCCACAAAACTTTCATGTGATGACAACCAGGATATTAAAACTGGGACCTCCAGTGGAGTGGAGGGAGTGACACACTCAGCTGCTGCTTCTGAAACTCACACAGGACTGGAATGAATCCCAGTCTCAACCTGCAAAATAATTCATCTGGAAGCAGCAAGGACGAGCTTTGGTTCTGGGCTTGTCCTAGAAAAGGTGTCCCAAACCCCAAATGCAAAAGTGGTACCAAAACCAAAATGCAAAGGTGATCCCAAAACCAAAATGCAAAGGTGGTACCAAAACCAAAATGCAAAGGTGATCCCAAACCCAAAATGCAGCTTTAGAAAAGAGTTTCACAATTCAACACCTTTCCCTACAAAGGCCATAGAGCCAGAATAGAAACAAACCAAGCAAAACAAATCCAAACACGTGGAGAAAAGGAAAATGGGAGAAATCCCACTCCCAAGAAGGAAAACCCCAAACACCAGCACTTCTGCCACTGCCAGTGTCACATCCCACAGATCCAAACCCACCCAGCACTGGGAATCCTCTGTGATTCCTGCAGGAACAGCTGCCTGAGTGCTCCCAAAGAGAAATTGTGAATCCTAAATAATTAAAAATCAGCTCCCAGGTTAACAGCCTGTATCAGGCTCAGCCCCTGGATCTGTCTGAGGMGATTTACCTGCTCCAAACAGCTGCTCAAGTCACTAAACCTCAGCAACCACATWAAAACATTGTTTTCTTCTGATTCATTTACTTTGAAAGGACTTTTAGATTGAATTATCCTCACTCCCTACTTAGATTTCCAGCAGAGCAGCAGGASAAATTGAAATGTTTCAGAGCAAGGATGTTCTTGTTCATCTCCCAGCTGGAAGAGAGACAATACATGAAACTGCTTTTAATTTTCCAATTTACAAGATTCCTGAGTGCCAAGACTAAGGATGTGGGCATATAAATATATAAAATCTGGCCAAAATTTGATATCTTGCCATTTAGCTTCAGGATTTTCCTAAAAAGACTCCCATTGCAARGTAAAATTCAGCACTCTCCACTAATCTGAAAGAGTATGACCCTTAAATCCATATAAAATTTTGTTCAAAACAGATTCTCATCATYTTTTCACATATTAAAGTAAGAACTGATGTATTCTACCATTTTTAAGTGCCCACTGCATAGAATTAAAGTAAAGCAAGAGTTTAAAAGTGATTTTTTTCATAAAAATAAGTGACCTTAAACTTGTTGAGTCCAYAATGAAGAGACTGAAGCTCTTCAAAGCATGTTCTGGACCTAAATTCTGGACTTTATTCCAAGCAATAAGGAAATATTCTTTTTTTTTTTTAGTGAACTGCACAGGCTCCTTATCCAGCTCCACATCTTTGTGTATTCTAGAATTAAACATTTTTCACACCTTTGCATGCATGAAGAAAATTAAAACTTTTCATCTTTTTCTGCTACCAGCTTCTCTCCTTCAAGGAATGCTCATTAAAAGTTTGCAGGAATGGGAAATAATGGCCAGAACATTAAAAACACAGCTTAAAAGTTAAAAAAAACCTCCTCTATTCCAGGTGTTTAACTAAAAAAATACTAAACTTTCTTTAAAGTTTTTGTCATAAATCAACTTGCTTGGGGAGATCACATCTCAGCTGGCCAACGAGTGGATTTTTAAACCTCTTCAGGACAAAATCACAAATTATTTGAAAGCAGWGGTGATGATGTTTAATAAATTGGGAAATTTATTGGGAAATAAACTGGGCTTTCACACTTTGGATTCAGTGCCACATTCTTCACCTCTCCTACAAATAACACAACAATTATTTTGGAAAATCTCATTCTGGTTTAAACATCYCCAGTGCTTGTTTTAAAGACTGTTTTTTAAAGAATGAATTAAATCTGTCTCCCTACCGGCCTGACTGCCAGAACTGCCAATGATCCAATTTTGGGTTGACTCACGGATACTGTGTGTTCACACAAGAAATGCACATTACTGCCCGATTGCTTCATGCTCCAGGGTGGGTCCTGCAGACAATTAAGGAATTTTCCCAGGGACAAAAAACCTGGCTATAAGCAAATGCACATTTTTTACAAGCACTCACTGGCATCACAAYTCTATTTCCTTTGGTTTAGAAAGTTGAAATTCCTGTTCTTTTCACCAAAACCAAATGCACAAATGGAAAGAATTGGTAAGAGCAGTGTGAATCCACCAATTTTTGTAGCATTTATATTTTAGGATGATGAAAACACTTTGAAATTTTAAGGAAATATTTTTTTGCAGCTGTACCTCACGTTTGCACAGACACTGGTTGGTGTCAGGGGGCTGCTTTAGGTCAGATTCCAGAGATGAGGAGAACAACCTGGCATTTTCTAAGACACTGGAAAGCAGCTGCTACAAGGAGGAGATTTAAGAGAAAAGAGTAGAAAATCCAGGATTCTTCATACAGGCAATTAGTGGTTTCTACACCAGCCACAAGACTACTTAGCTGCCTTGAGCAGTGACACAGGGACCCAAAACAAATGCAAATCTTTTATTCTATTAAAAAGAAACAACAAAGAATCATTATTCTGCAGCATCACTATACCTGCCCTTGGAAAAAAGACACAAACCACTCACCATTGTCTAAAATAYTTGTATCCCAGTCCAGATCAGCAGGAAATTCAGTCAGAACCACRGAATAAAATGACACAGAACAGGACATTGCTCCCTCCAGCCTCAACTCAACCCAATCCCTCCACTACTGGGGGTGTCCTACCTAAGAGGGGATGTCCTGTGATCTTCCCTGCTTTGCAAAAACATCCTAAAAATACAGATCGATCTCCTGTGTGGTTTCCCACATGGTTTCTGTCCTTTGTGSAGCGGGCAGATGTGTCACAGGGTGGCTTTTCCCTGCACCACAGGTGGCTGCTGTCACAGGTGTCACCTGAGCACCAGGAACACCTCGGGTGGATGCTCAGTGAGGGAATCCGGCTCGGGAAAAAGCCTGGAAAAGCTGTCAGGAGGAACACCGTGGGGAGGGGATGAAGGAGGGGATGAGGAAGGGGATGAAGGAGGGGATGAAGGAGGGGATGAAGGAGGGGATGAAGGATGCCATTCCAGTGCACATCGGCAATCAGGGTGCCCAGAGAAGATGAGCTGCCCATCCCTGGAAGTGTCCAAAGCCAGGCTGGACAGCAACCCGGGATAGCGGAGGTGTCCCTGCCATGACAGGGGTGGCACCGGATGAGTTTGAACGCCCCTTCCAACCCAAACCATTCCGGAATTCTCCGATTATCAACGCCCTCCAAAACAAGAGCCCCGATTAAGGCGTAGAGCGAACTTCAGCGAGCGCAGGTGACGGAGGAGCAGCGCCCGCCTCACCCGCAGCATCCCCACACGCAGCGGCACCGGGGGGCCCTGAGGGGCTCCGGGGCTCTTCCCGGCGCTGCCCGCAGACAGGGCGGGGGCCCGGGCTCCACCTGCCCGGAGCCGCGAACCGCGGGGCAGGGACCGAGCAGGTGCCGCCGCTTCCTCCATTCCCTCCCTCCCCCCGGGACTGACCTTGCGCAGGGCGGGCACGAAGAGGCCGCGCCATTTCGGGCCGTTCTCCTCKCCCAGGAACTCGTAAGGCTGCGGCGGCGGCTGCATGGCGGCCGCTCCGCATCGGGGCCGGGCCGCCGCGGTGTGGCTGCTCACCCTCC